ATTCTATTGACTACTCTGAGCAGCATTTAGCTTTCTCTAAGGTTTGTACTTCACTGTTCACTATATCGCACAGTTAACTCCTAGGACTCCCGGGAGGCTACAGTATATGCCTATAACTTTCCTATTCCCTTTTCTTGATTTGTTTTAACTATCTGCTACAAACTGACTCCCTTATTTACAGTAAAGGTAACAAACAAGCGACTTTGTCTCTTGTTAATTAATATATTGCATTAGAGACCCTAACTACATCATGTCTATAGGTTGGGAAACTGTACTGTATTTTCAACTAGTTTGACCTACCTAAAACACTGGTGAGCTGTGTGTCGCAGTGTTCCACTGAACGGTCTGCAGAGATGGTGTGTATGGGGGTATATATACACCCTAGGGTGCCAGAGGCCGGGGGGCAGGCACGCCTGGACTCATGTCAGCACTTTGCTTTGGTCTCCATTGTTTTGTTGTGTGAGCCACAGAGGGGTTAACACACATACACACAGTGATTCATGCAAACACAAAGAGGGCACACTGCTATACTGCATTACCTATGCTTCTGTGGTAAATCTATATGTTGGGGGAAAAAACAGGGTAGCTTTCTCCACCAGTATCTATTATCAAATTGGTTTATACAAAAGTGCAGTTCAGTGGTAAAACATTTTATGTTGCTGTTTTTATTCATTTTGTATGGGAGCAATTAGCTTATTCCTGTTTTTATGTTATGAAGTGTCATATTTATTGCTTTATATTATTTGTGTTTTTTAATGCCACAGTGCTTTTTTGTGTGCACTTAATAGATTCATTATCATAAATTATCGGATTCAATTTTGTGTGGACTTGTCGAAAGCTTTTTTTAGTAATCATACTCGTAGCATAAATATCGTGAGATTTATCAAATAAAAAAATAAAAAGTAAACTTTGTGTCTTTTATTGTCATATTAATGTTATCTTAAAGAGGTTTTCAGGTAGCCTTGGAGACATCCCTGACTTTTGTTGCAAAAACTCAACAAATAAAAGAATATACACAATATTAATCAAGGATGAATGAGTTAATAAAAGTCATATCTTATTAGTAGTTATTAGTTAATTATGATTATTCAACCAGTCACATGCTTGACACTGATTAATATAGACAAAGGAAGTGGGGGTGCTGAAGGGGCTGCTATCAGGAGTGATACAAATTCTGTCTGTAATTAATTGTGTAGTACATTGGCTAGAGGTTTGATTTAGTTTTTTTTAATCCGTGTTAATTGTATGATGTTGTTGTAAAGACTGTGTTGGACTCAGTGCCCCCAACTCTGATGACGCCCAGTGTCCCTGCTCATTAATGTGCAGTATGCGTATCAGACATCATTATTTTGTTTGTCTCAGATCAATTGTTGGTCTCCACCCTTTGTTGGTTCATTTTGAAAATGCATTTCAAAAGTAATCTAATTTCCTGAAACTTGAATACCAACTTTCATGACGGCTGTGCAAACTGGATCAATGACATAAACACACTGGACTTGAAATAGGAAGACGGCTGTTGTGTTGGAAATCTAATCAGGCTGTTGTATTGATCTTAAAACATTGCAGCAATCCATGGAGGGTGTAGAAGAATGAGATTGTTGTAAATAGAGTCAAAGGAGTTTAATCAATATTCAAATGGCAGCTGCAGTCCATCATGAGTCTGGTATGTATACAGAATCTTTCACCTAAAACCAGCCTGACTCCCCCTCTCTGTGAACACCAGCAGAGTTAAAATATGATGCTGTGTTTCCTGTTTTCACTTTGTGATTTAAAATGTTGTGAATGAAAGTACCTGTTGCTATTTTTGGAAAACCTGTACAAGTGAATAAATCAACAATGAAGGTTAGCAGGGGGCAATGGCACCAGTTGAAAGGCCTTATTGGCAGGACTGGCAGCGCTTTGGCATCGACTGAGCCTCAATTGCCAGCTTAAATAGATTTTTATTACGCAGGGAAAATAAGGTGGTAATTGTACAAAAGAAGAGGGAGCCAATGTCGAGCTGCTTTTTATACTTTTGACTGATCTTATTCCTCCAGAAAAGGTAGAAAGCACAAAAGCATTTTTGTTGCAACACTTTTGTAGAAGCCATTTTAAAGCATTTTTCTTTCATTTTATTTTCTTTCATTTATCCCAAACATCTGAACTAAAAGGTGTGTTTTACAGTATTTTACAGTGCTCTTCACTGTGTCATTAAAGTAAGCTAGAGTGAACAAAACAGAGAGAGCAGCTGGTAACTGAGTGTGCACCCTCCTCTCTCCTCTAGCCGCACTGAACAATAAACATTTAGGAATGGCTTACTGAGGTCAGCACATTGCCCAGACTCTGTCTGTGTGTGTGTGTGTGTGTGTGTGTGTGTGTGTGTGTGTGTGTGTGTGTCATTCCCTAATTGTGTCTACAACAAAGAGAAAGAGAGATAAATGTCGACATATTACAAATAACATCATAATAAAATGTATTTTTATGAGCAGCTTCCTGATAAAAGTGAATTTGTTCAGATCAGAATGTGAGACAGAAGGGGCATATATGTCTGTGTGTGTCTGTGTGTGTATCCGCTGTGTGTGTGTGTGTGTCAGTGTGTTTCTGCTGATCCTAGCAGCAGCAGCTCAGACGTGACAAAGGGACGAGCAAACTCAGCAGGCCGATATGAAGAGCCCACAGTGACCATATAGCCGACTGTCAGTGTGCACATACAGATGCCACACACATAACAAAACCTCAGTTTCTTCTATACGTGTTCAACACACCAACATGCAGGGCACAAAGCGTCTCTCACAGCCACACAAACCGCTGGCATATTTAACACTAATTACTTATAAATAAATAAGCTAAAACTTACAAGTATGTCTTTATTTCTGATTAGAAAATGATACCTTTGAATTTTAGACTTGAGATCTGAAAGTTTGGAGGTTACTTTATTACTCCCTGTTGAACTTTGATACCACTGATAAACCAGAAGAACATGTAATTGTCATCAGCATATGCAATACAACAACTACCACAGTCACTTCTCATCATTGCACACTCAAAATAGATTCAGTATAGTAACAAAAATCACTCTTAGTTCTTCGTCAGCTGCCCCAAAAAAGACAAACCAGTCAGAATTAGAATTGCAGTAAACACAAACTGCCTCTAGGGTGCAACATCTCCACACAACTTTCCAGGTCTATTATGATGATTAATTTAGGGAACTGGCACACTCTTAGTGACCTCTCAAACTTTCTTGGGTCAATCATTGAAGAGCCATATGTGAAACAGCTGGTAAGGACAGCTCCTTGATCCCTGCGGATGGACCTGAGTATTTTTCGACAGGCCTTTGTCTTCACTGATGCTTCGTTGTTGTGGCTGCTGTTAACTGCAGTGAGAGCTGGTTTGTCACTGTTATCATCATCACACAGTGCCACTGCAGAGCTGTGATGGACAGTCATGTGTGACTGAGATCTCCACTGAGTCATGCAGAGACGTTACATGCATCAGTAGAGAGTGAAAGAGAGACAGAAATAGGATTAAAACCTCACAGAGTTGTTCCCATTCTGCTCTCTCCTCTCCAATTGGGTTACATTGATCTGATGAAGCCTGTTTGTAGGGACGACATTCAGTGTATATGCAGTGGTTTTCTTTAGTTTTTCTTCAAGGCAGCTATGTTACAGTTATATCAAATACATTTGGTGAAGTAACAAGTGCAATATTGTCCTTTGAAATGTGGATCTGAACTGTAAAGTTGCGCAAAATGGATAAACTTGACTAAACTGCAGGTACCTCAAAGTTACTTTCCAGCACTGATTGTTGAAGTTGATTAAAATGGATGTTTAACGGCTTCATACATACGTCAAATCTGTATCTAAGTAGTAAAAAGTTTAGTTAATATTTCCCTCCAAAATGTAGTGGAGTAGAAGTATAAAGGTTTAAATGTATTCCAGCACTGAACAGAATCAGGCAAATTGGCATATAAGAGACAAAACAAACAAGTGTACGGTAGGACTGTTGTGATATCTGTAATGTGATTTTTATTTTTATTATTGATTATTATTGAATTTCCCTCGGGATAAATAAAGTATCTATCTATCTATCTATCTATCTATCTATCTATCTAAGGGCAATAAAGTCACAGTGAACTTCCAAAGGGAATAAAGGGACATGGAGCACACGGATTGATCTGCAGCCAATGGACAAATGTTTCCACTCTGCTGTCTTCACCAGAGTCAGAATGTAAGAAGACATGAGGGAAACACACATATATAGTCAACAGGTGAACAATCATTGGATAAAAATCACCCTCTTCTAGAGGTGGAGACATTAACATCTCACTGCTCTGCAGAGAGGCACATTGGATTCACTCTTAATCCTTTTGACCTAAATGAATTTCTTGTGTTGCCTAATTTACTAATTTATTGCACTTGATAGATGCAGTACTTGTACTTCCTGCACTTTTATCTTTGTAACTTTCAGATATATTGATGTTCTTTTGCTTCTGATGTTTATAAGTGCATGGACTGTAGCCCTTTGACATTGATTGGCAACTCATACCCTTGGATCAATTATCCAATTGATTTGAAATCCTGTTCAACCAATTATCCAATGACAATTGGTCACCTGTTGTATGTGTTTGCCTCAAGTTTTCATTCAGTCTTCATCCAGCCAGACTCCTCAGATGCAGAAACAATATTTGTCGAAACTTTAGTCTGCACAATTAAAGGCTGCAAATCAAACAATGTGCTCCAGTGCGTTATTCCTTTATACGTAGGCCTAATGGCAACATTTAACTGCGTTTCCGATGTGCTTGTGTTGTTTGTGGGCCTTCAAAAAAAAAGAAAAAAGAAAAAAGAACAGACACATTGCAAATATAATGAGTCTTTTGAATGAAAAGACGGTTTTGTCGTTTTTATTAGTGCGCGCAGTCGTCGGTTGGAGCGCAGACTGCGCGCAAGAGACCAGTCGCTGTCTGTCAGCCTCACAGACGCCCCCCCCAAGCCCTTCACATACAACGACCATCTGCCGCCTCTTTTTTTAATTTCGAGCCCAGCAGTTTATTTCCCACAGACTTTCTAGCTTCACTTGACACAACCGAAACAGCGTCTGAAGAGAGCAGCTGCGCAGAAAAGCAGCAGAAAGGATCCCGCTCTGCGCATCATATTGCGCTCAGCCAACGAGAGCCGGAGCCGTTTGCATGCAACCCGTCTGCAGAGAACAGACTGCAGGCTCATAAAGACGAAGCGGATTTGAATTAAGCACCGGATAACAGACAGCAACTGTGTGTATCCTTCGCCGAGGGAGGGAGGGAGAGGGAGGAGAGGGAGGCAACTGTTTTGTATCTTGGAAGCCCTGGGTTTGGAGAGAGGGGGGGAAAGGAGGAGCGGAGAATGAGCTATTCTTGTACCAGCAGAGGCAACAGCCAGGACCCATCAAGCGCTAAGAAGCCTGCGGGTAATAATCCGGGCAGAGACACCGGAGGCACAGACGGCAGCAGTGACGGCAGCCCGAAGCAAACGGCGGCGATGAAAGTGAAGAAAGGCTGCAACTCGACCGACGTGGGAGTCCCGGTGACCACGGAGGAGGACCTCCTCGCCAGCATGGTGATCACTCCGGAGGATGTTCTGGGTTTGCAGAAGATCACAGAGAGTAAGTTCACTGCTGCTGTCTCGGTTGTTGAGTGACAAAAAGGGGGGGATAAAAGGTGCAGAAATGTTACAGCTCCTCTATGAGTCATGCATCACGTCATTACAGTGTCCCCTTATTTATGTAATGTATATAGGCCCTATTCAAACACATGGTGCATCATTGGAGCCCCCTTGTTGCCAACCTGTCTGCAGATGTGCGTTAAATCTCCTCTGCTGGCATCTTGGTAGACCTGTGACCTGTGGAGGTGAGGTGTCAGCCCACCAGTGGTTAAGTTTTGTACACAGTCAAGGAGTCTCCCCCAGAATGCAGATGACAGTTAATTACTGGACAAGCTTACATTGTATCCTCTTAAATTATACATCATCCTTTGAGTCTGCACTTTAGCGTGATTTCATTTGACTAGAAGGGTAGAAGGGTGCAAAGTGAGGTGCTGGGTTGACTGAGGGGTCAACCTTAAAAACAGCCTGCTTCCTTTGCATGAGTTCACATTTAGTTCAGCGCAGAGGCTTTCACCTGTCTTTTCCCTCCTCTCCAGAGAGTTAAAACACCCACGACTCATGTTTTTGTTTCTTATTTTAATTTTTACAGATATCTTACTTACAGATGTCTAAAAGACTTTTTCAAACTCAGTGGAACTGTGTTGTAAAAATGTTCCTGAAAGAGTTTGTGGGTTATTTCTGCAGTCAGGTAGCTTGTGATTCAAAAATAACCTTAGCAGAAGGTTATAAACACCAAAATGAGTGTAAGAGTGGTATTATATCAGTGGTGGAAGAAGTGTTAAGATTTTACTTAAAAATAGCAATAATAAGGTCCAATACGAGTAAAAGTATTATCAGCAAAATATACTTAAAGTAACCAAAATACTTGTATTTGTTATGCAAAGAAACAAACCCTGTGATTTATATACTGTTATATATTATTAGTGATATATTGTTACTGATGTATTCTCATGTAAGAAGCATTTTACTCCTGCTGTTAGTTGAGCTGGAGCTAATTTTAACCTCATTAGATTGTGTTGTTAGGTAGGTTTAATCTGCAATGGGATGACAACAAACAATCAACAACACATGGAAGCACTCAAGTAAAGGACAAGTACCTCATGATTGTATTTAAGTGTACTGGCTGAGTAAATGTACTTTCAAATTCTACCAGATTATTGTATTATACTTTATTTCAGAGAAAAGATTAGCAGATTAGAGCTCTAACATAAAAACTTTAAGTGCTTGGCTTGTGTTCCTAAAACAGCATAATAATTTCAAACATGTACAGTATGTGTCTCACAAAGTAATATTTAAGCACAGTGTATATGCTCTTTAAACACAAGCAAAGCTGCTTATTCACTGATAAACTCATCTGATATATAGTTTCATGGCAAAGAGCCACTTGTGACATTTTGATTACCATACTTGCTGTTGGGGGAGAAAAAAAAGCTTGAAGTAGCTCACTTTGCTTATTCGTAATGTCAAGATGAAAAAACGCTGCTGATAATGTAGCGCATTACTTAATGCAGCTGCTTTTTAATTATGTCACACCTCTAAATCGCAACCAAGCCTCTTACAGAGAAACAGAGGGAGAGATAGCAGCCAGGAAGCTCTTATGTGCCCAAGAACACCTACATCTATCACCAACTCAGGTCTTAAACCAGAAGTTAGCTAACAGGTGGCCTAGCGGGGCATTCGACTATTTAAAGGCCAGTATAATACCTCACTTACACAACATGGTTACACTTGCTGTTACGATACATACTGAGTGAGATAACATGCAAACACTGTGTCTGGGTTTTCTGTTTTAGGAAGCGTTTGGGCATTGGTCACAAATTCGTCGTGCACTTTTCACCGAGCAGCCTTCCACATGTGACTGAGAGATGCTTTTAAAACAAGTCTTTTTACCCTCTTGAAACTATTCCTGCAGTGTCACTTTCATCCTCTTATCCTTTTCCTCTTTTTCTTATTTTTTTCTTACTTTTTTTTCCAGGTTGCTTAATATAATACAGGAAGTTTATGTTGTGATGAGGAACGAGATCTTTCTCGTCCAGCCCGGCATAATCACAGCTTACTGAGAAGAGGAAGAGCTCTGAGAACATCCTTTGGCTCAGCTTGTCCTTCCTCTTTTACTGACTGTCACCGTAAAGTCTGGTAGTTTCTTTAATTGTCCTTTTAACCAGTCAGTTGCTAGGAAAAGAAGAGTTATTTCCTCTTTGTGTGTTTTTTTAAAATCCATAAGTCGTTGTTGGTGATCCCTCATGAGTGAGTCTATGCGGGGCTGGTAGTCCAGTTGCACGGCGGCGCATACGGGAGCACTGTAATGACTCTGTCTCCCACGCTGGACCCTATTATGGTCTTGGAAACTCTCACTTTCCTACCTCGCAGCGTCATCGCTGGAGGCAAGAGGAGCTATGTGTGAATCACCACAGCAACATGGACACACGCTTGAATCACTACGGCAACGTGAAGCATCTCCCCGTGGTCACAGGCAGCGGAGCGCGCAGCTCTGTTTTCCCACACACTTCCTCCTCTACTTTCCTTCATTTCTTTCTTCTCCTCTGCTCCCCTGTTTAACAGAGGAGTTGTGCTGTCACCTAAATGAGTTACAGGGACAGAAATGGACACACGTAAGCTCAAACTTGCTTCACAAAGTTTGCGGCGGTCAAACGAAGCAGGAAACAACCTGAGCTCTCTCTCTTGAGAAGACACTCAAGCCCTTCTGTTGTTTTGTGACTCGTCTCTCTCTGCTGCTGCTGCATGTTCTCAAGTGGCTGAAATTGATTCCCTCTCTTTAAGTGGCATGATACACAATTGACAATACTCACACGCACAGCTCCGCCAGACTTGACCCTAACAGTCCAGAGTCAAACATTTTTGTGTTTTTTTTTACTGAGTGGTTGTTGTTTGAACCTGTTTTTGGAGCACAGATGTCTCACAGGAGAGAAAACGCAGATCAATTCTCAGAAATGTGACGGAGTTGCCACAAATAATATTGTGCTCCACTCGTCTGGTAATGAAAGCAAGCTGCTGAGAATGATTAAGATTTGCATAGACAGAACAGGCTTTCTGCTCAGTCGACTGATCTGATCCAAACTTATGTTCTTAACTGAATCTTAATCTCATGTCGGTGTGGAACCCATCACAAACCCTCAGAGCTGCAAGGTCCCTCTTTTAGACACTTATTTCTGTTAGGGATAATTGATCAGTCAACTCATTGTTTCAGCTGAATTTGAGAGTTTTGTACATATAAGTGCCAAATATGAAGGTTTTTCATATGGATTGCTTTGGTTATTAAGGACTTGTGTCTAAGATCTGTTCTTAGAGAGACAGTTAAAATAACCAGTTTCTATAACACAGACATATCTTTGGATTTCATACTGAAATTTCTGCTTATCAGCCAACATATAACCTGATATTGCCGTATCTGTAATAACCTTAAATTAGCCAATACATTTGTCCAGACTGATGTATTGGTCGATTTCAAAACCAGTGGCTTTATGTTTGGACATATTGAGTTTTCACTTCATTTTTAGCAGCGGCAGCGCGGCTGACTTTGTTGCACATAGCAGCAGTTCAGGCAGAGCACTGAGCCTGTGCTCATGTAAGCTGATTGGCATCAGCTGTTTCACACAAGCTTCACAATCATTGGCTCATTCACAGCTGTGTGGTAGTAACAATCATCTCCACGCAGGGGTTTATCGCTGTTACTCTAATGATCACGCTCATGCCAACGCCCTTTGCTGCCGCAGCTCTCTCTACCAGCCCAACCTTCTCCGTTTGTGGTATTTTGTATTGTTGATTTAACTAAGATTTAATGTGCATGTATGTGTTTACAAAGGGCAGATTAGGTCTTAGGTCTGTTTGGAGCCTTTTCTACCAAATCCTGTATAACATTTGTAAAAATAATCAATTCCTTGATGTGTCTCTGACTGAAGTGCTGTTGTCAGATGTAGAGCTGCAATGATTAGGGGATTATTATTTTGATTACTATTTTGATTATTGATTAACTGTTAAAGTAACCTTTTCAGCAAAAATGCCAAATGTTCTACTATCTTACATTAAAGTAAATTGAATGTTTTGGGGTTTCGGACTGTTGGTCGGGCAAAACAAGACATTCAATTTGGTTACTATAATTTTAATACATGATAGAAACATCAGATTTGTTGCTATGGTTACTGGCATTCTTGTTTAGTCTGAAGTGTTGACTGATATACAGTTATAACTGAGACCTTCCAGCCAATCACAAAGTGTTGTAACATCGCTTTACTTCTGTTGGGACTCATGACCAGAACTTTCAGTCAGTCGGTGCTGTGGTAAATTCAGTCTGTTTGATATCACTGGTGTAGTTTCACAGCTTTAAAATACATTTCCTGATTATCTTTTAAAATCATTCACAGTGGTGAGTTATTTGTGCGTTGTCAGTTGAGAAGCACCCATGCAAATGTGACAGGCCTGTGAGGTCTTCAGTGAGAGCTAAATAAATTATCTGTGAGAATAAACTTTTACAACCCACAAAGTCTGTTAAGCATCCAGAGCTCAAATAACCCACTTAGGCCTGCAGCTTGTTCTCCTTTAGCAGTGTGCTGGTGCAGATCTGATGCAGTTAAATGCTCCGTACTATGAAGTTAAATGGGGTAACAGGTGATGAAACCAGGCCACCTTTGTTTGCTTGTCAAGATGGTGATCAATTAGGTAAATACCAAAACATATTGTCTATATTTCATTAAAAGACAAAAAAGAACATCACAGAACCTGCTTTTTGCTCTAATGTGACTGTTTTTTAAACCTTTCTTGACAGTAAACAAAGTCAAACTGCAAGTATTGTAATTAGGTCTAACTGCTGTAAGCTGCATCCATATCTGGAGTCGTACAAAGAACCTCCACCAAACCATATCTCAGATTCTCTTCCTTCCCTCATCTCCCCATTTGGCCCTCTTTTCACTGTCCCTTCTTATACAACTATCCCCATTTTTACCACAGCAGTGTTGCCATGACACGACTCTCCTCTACACCTGC